GGCAAAACTGGCCACATAAAGAAGAACTGTAAAAATCCTAAGAAGACGGAGAACGTCAGTGCTAACTCTGAGACTGAAGAAGTGCAGGATGCATTATTACTTGCAGTTCATAACTCTGTTGACGACTGGACACTGGACTCGGGGGCTTTTTTTCACACATCTTCCCACCGGGAGCTAATGAGAAACTACGTTTCAGGTGACTTTAAGAAAGTGTATCTGGCCGATGGAGCAGCTTTGAACGTGGTGGGGATGGGAGATGTTGAAATTGCACTCCCTAACAGAAACAAATGAATCCTGCAAAAGGTTAGACACATTCCTGAACTGAAAAAGAACCTCATATTTGTTGGGCACCTTGATGAGAGAGGTCATTCAGTAGTGTTCTCTGATAACACCTAGAAGATTACTAAAGGAGCACTGGTACTGACTCGGGGTAAGAAGAGTGGTACGCTATATATGACAACTGGTCTAATTAATAATATTGATACCACAGTTGCAGAGAACACAACAGACATGTGGCATTGCAGACTTGGACACATGAGTCAGAGAGGTATGAAAGAGCTTCAGTCCAGAGGCAAGCTACTAGAACTGCAGTCCGTTGATTTCGGCATGTGTGAAAGTTGCATCATGGGGAAGCAGAAGAAGGTCAGTTTCTTGAAAGGTGGCAGGATCCCAAAGGCAGGAAAACTAGAACTAGTACACACCGATGTGTGGAGGCCTTCCCCAGTGACATCTCTTGGAGGCTCTCGCTATTACGTCACATTCATAGATGACCACAACAGAAAGGTATGGGTTTATTTTCTGAAGCATAAATCTGATGTATTCTCTGTGTTCAAAACTTGGAAGGCCATGGTTGAAACGGAGACAGATCTAAACTGAAATGTTTGAGATCTGACAATGGTGGTGAGTACATCGATGGTGGGTTTAAGGAATACTGTGCAGCTCAAGGTATCAAAATGGAGAAGACTATCCCGGGGACACCACAACAAAATGGAGTTGCAGAACGCATGAACAGGACCATCAATGAGCGTGCTAGGAGCATGAGATTGCACCCAAGACTACCACCAACCTTCTGGGCAGATGCAATCAGCACTGCAGTTTACCTGATCATGTCCCATTAGACTGTAAATTACCTGAGGAGGTCTGGAGCGGCAAAGAGGTCAAATTTTCTCATCTTAAAACTTTTGGTTGTCTTTCTTATGTGCTAATTAATCTTGATGTGCGTAGCAAGCTTGATGCTAAGTCAAAGAAATGTTATTTCATTGGTTATGGAGACGAAATATTTGGTTATCGTTTATGGGGTGATCAGAAATGGAAGATTATCAGAAGCAGAAATGTGATTTTCAATGAGAAGATGAGGTACAAGGACAAGACCAATACAAATTCTGGAGTAGTTCCTCAGGAGTCATAATTCGTGGAGTTCGAAGACCTACCAGAAAACATAGAGAAGGATAGAGATGAGAATGAGGAGAAGAATGGGTCCGGGGCACCTATTCCTATTATTTCGTCATTTACTACTCCAGCAATCGTTCGTAGGTCAGTCAGGAGCAGACGTTCACCACAGCGTTACTCACCAACTTTAAACTACGTCTTGCTGACAGACAGTGGGGAACCACAGAGCTATGAAGAAACCTTAACAGATGAAAATTCTAGCAAATGTGAGCTGACCATGAAGGAGGAAATGGATTTCCTATTAGGAAACCAGACATGGGAGCTGACAGAACTTCCCCCAGGGAAGAAGACATTGCACAACAAGTGGGTGTACCGGGTAAAGACTGAGTCTGATGGCAGTAAAAGGTACAAGGTAAGACTTGTTGCAAAAAGTTTTCAACAGAAGCAAAACATTGATTACTCTGAGATCTTTTCTCCAGCGGTAAAACTCACAACCATTAGAATGATCCTGGATATGGTTGGTTTCGAAAAAATATTCCTGGAGCAATTAGATGTGAAAACAGTTTTTCTTCATGGAGACCTTGAAGAAGACATCTATATGCACCAGCATGCACCAACCTG